TCTAATTACTATTAAAACTTATATATTAATACACTTTATTCTCATTAAGAGATATGTAGTGTATTCATTCCGATTACGGGGCATGATTCTCATATCGTCATTTTCGTCACTACCTCCACGTTGCGCGCCTGCTGCTTTCCTTGGATGTGGTAGCCGTTTCTTAGACTCCGTCTTCGGCGGAATCGTACCCTGATTTCCCGTTACCCGTTATAACCATGATATTAATATTAACTGCTATCATAACATGAAACTAAAAAGTGAAAAATAATTATAGTTTAAAAAAACTAAAAAACACGCTTTTAAAGCACATTGAACTAAAAATTATTTTTCACTTTTTAGTTTTTTATGACATCGTTGTTACAGTCACGGAGTGTTTATTGTTAATTATTACTTGCAATGGATATAATGTCTGTATTGCCAGTTAGTGTGTTTATAAAATCACAACAATGTGTTTTATTACCATTGATAATAAAGGCTATACGCTTGCTAATATCGCCATAAAAATCAATTAGAGCTACCTGCATTTGTAATCCCTTATGTATTATTAACTCAAAAAAATTCGAATCTTTAAATGTTTATATCTAATAATATACAATAAAAATTTGTTCATATATATATAATATTGATGATACGCCCACATCTACAGGTACGAAAATCCAAAAATTATACAAGAATATAGTGTTGCAGGCTGGAGATGAGCGGGGTGAGGTTAATGCGTTATAACAGTCTTGTCTCAAGGCCAAACAAGACGGTATACTCGAGATAATAACACGTGGCGCGTGGAGAGTTACAAACAACACATATACATGTGAAACTAATATAAGCGCGTTAAAAATTGATATTGACTAGTCATTTTCTTTATTAGATATTTGTACTGGTGTAGGAGAGAACGGGACAAGTTGACGCTTGAGACAAGAAAATTTTGTTGATTTTAAAAATATTCTGAACTTTTTATGAAAATATTTTTAAATGATTTAACTTAGCCATGACAAATTTTTCGAAAATTATTAAAAAAATAATGTTTTAATTTTAAAACGCACTTATAAATTTATTGCAAAAACTATATAAAATTGTAATTTTACAACACAACGTTTTAACTTGTTAAGCTATTGCAATAACAATAATTTTATTTACTTATTCGTTCTCAAACTAAATAATCAACTACACTTTAAAAATGTTTAAATATTAATAATTTGTTGTTTGGTTTTAATTAAACCCATTTAGGTAGTATTTATACATTTTATACTTATATCTCGTTGAATATTATTTTTCAGAAAATATTCATTGCAATTATTATATTATTGATTGCTATACAAAAAGGAGGACAGGTACCTTCCAGCTCTGATGTTTCTAAGGACATAACAGGATTTATAAACTCCAATAACTTAGAAAGTAAAATACTTAAAGCTTTTCTTAATCTGTATCTTAGAGTCACTAATTGGACATCACAAATAAATCGTTCTAATCGGTTGTTTTTAAACTTCCGGGTTATTTATACTTAAACCTAAGATACTAATTGCTGTACATTTTATAGCTCTAATAAATACAATTTTATCAATAGTGTAGATATATTATCTTTTTACATGTTTTAAAATTTTATTTATACTTCGTTTTGAAAATCTTTAACTGCGTATTTTCATATAGTCTATGGTTATATCGGCACTATCTTCTGTTTAACGGGTGGTGGTGACACGCGTGAAGTTGCAAGTTAATCACATACTAATTCAACATTACAATTACATGCATGGGATAATATCGTTCAAAACTGTATCTCATAGCTAAACAACAATAACAATTAAAATATTGGATTGAAATTATCGAATGGCAAATGTAATAAACCGTAAAAAATTTCTAATCGGAAAAAAATGACATTAGCTTCAATATTTTTTAAGTTAGTGAACATTTTTCATTAACTCTCTAAGGTCTACTAAAAATAATTTTTTATAAATCAGATCAATTTCTAATGTATGCGCCTAAATATTATACGAAATTTCTGGAAAATCACACACAGCTTTTCTAAAAAATAATTGATAATTAAATTTTAATTCTCGAAAACTATATAAAAAATATGTACATTTTTTTTCTCAAATAAGACGTATTTATCACAAATATGTATCATTACAAAAGTTATGTATAGTTATATCCAAAATTTTTGTTAATACCACACACAGGATTTAGAAAAAAATAGTTAAAAAAAAGTCATTATTTGTTGGATGAATAAAATATCTTTCCGAACAAAGCAAAGCTAATTACATAAAAGAAAAATTGCTGTAAACCGAAATTATTATGGTTCCTTTACCTAATTATAACAGTTTTTTTTAGAATGGTTAAGTTTATCTCATTTATGTAAATAGAGTAATAAATAATATACACATATTCAAATAAATTTAAAGTAATGAGTATTGAAATTCGTTACATTAATCTCAACCTTAAAATGGTTTAGTGTACATTATATACTAGTTAAGGTTAAACCAATAAGATTAATTAGTCTTATCTTACAATAAAGACCAATTATTAATAAAATAATTAAATTGCATTATGCAAAAACAACCATCAATCATAAATAAATATAAGCTTCTACTAAAAGCTGCAAGAAAATATCCTACTGTACATTTTCCAAAATACAACTAAGCCAAAGTTCGATTGTATATTATACTTAAATTATTTTTAAAAAATCAACTGAATGATTAAATAAATAAAAATGATTATTATTACTAANAAAAATGATTATTATAACTAAATAAAATAATTGATGATGTAATACCTTAAATGTGATATATATCACATTATTATATCATGAATTACTTGTGTAAATAGCATTATATAGTGCTATTTATACAACTAGAGATCAGGAGTTATATTATTAATCTGCAGTTAAATAAGAGAAAATAGAATGTAATTAAATAAAAGTTCAGTTGAAAAAGATCTATGTTTTTTACAATATTTTAAGTTTTGAACGCCCCCTATATAAGGGGAAATTGTCCAATTTTAATAAAAAGTATGTCAAATGAAAGATGTACTTATAATGTATTTAGAAAAAAAAANTACCTAATTATAACAGTTTTTTTTAGAATGGTTAAGTTTATCTCATTTATGTAAATAGAGTAATAAATAATATACACATATTCAAATAAATTTAAAGTAATGAGTATTGAAATTCGTTACATTAATCTCAACCTTAAAATGGTTTAGTGTACATTATATACTAGTTAAGGTTAAACCAATAAGATTAATTAGTCTTATCTTACAATAAATACCAATTATTAATAAAATAATTAAATTGCATTTTGCAAAAACAACCATCAATCATAAATAAATATAAGCTTCTACTAAAAGCTGCAAGAAAATATCCTACTGTACATTTTGCAAAATACAACTAAGCCAAAGTTCGATTGTATATTATACTTAAATTATTTTTAAAAAATCAACTGAATGATTAAATAAATAAAAATGATTATTATTACTAAATAAAATAATTGATGATGTAATACCTTAAATGTGATATATATCACATTATTATATCATGAATTACTTGTGTAAATAGCATTATATAGTGCTATTTATATAACTAGAGATCAGGAGTTATATTATTAATCTGCAGTTAAATAAGAGAAAATAGAATGTAATTAAATAAAATAATTGAACATTTATAGTATTTCTAATTTTCATAAATTATTCTGTTTTTAGACTGTCCAATATGTTGCCAAGAAATATTGGAAAATTTTTCACAAACTATATGTTGTCAAAAGATATTTCATTTTAAATGTTTGAATGATTGGATTATTCTACCTAAAAAGTGCCCATTGTGCCGACAACATCCATTTGAAAGTATAGAAAATTTTACTAATTTAATTATTTATTCTACTTAGTAGAATAATAATTCTATTTTATTACTTGTGATTTAATAATAAAATAATTCTTCATTAATTAATTTCACATATTCTGTATTATTGCTGAAAAACGGTGTCGAATTGGTAGTACCGAAAAGTCTCATTTTCTCTCCTTGTACATTGGTAAATAATAGGAATTTTAAAAAAAGTACATTGATAGTAAAGCACTTGTCTTAACACTGAAAATTTAATTCAATTATTTAAGTAAATCGGTTTAAAAAAATTAAACATATTTAACAAAAATTATATAATTTTTGACACAAGTGTTCGATTATTCATAGAATTTGTGTTTTCTAAAAGTAATATACTAATGTTCTAAATCATATATTCCATTAAACAAGCTCCAATTTAAAATAATTTAGAATAACACAAGTATAAAAACTATATAAAAAAAATTACAAAATCAATCATTTTTACCGGTAATGATTTTCTTTTAATATATTTTAATAATTCTTTTAATAACTTCTAGACATCAAATTGTCGGATAGTTTTTCTAATCATCTTAAGATAAAATTTTTTATCATTAATTTAATATAGGTTTAAATAAATCAGGGTTTTTATTAATAAATTATTATAATAATTATGATTAATACAAATTTAGCAATAATCGTTAAGTAATAATGGATCTATATAGTTTATTCACAAGAACAGATAGACAGAAAATAATTAAATTAATCATTTATTAAGTGTAAAATTTTTGTTTATTAGAATGTAAGATATGTCTTGGATATTTAAATGTGGATGCAACTAATGTAAAATGTTGCAAAAGCCAGTTTCATAAGAAATGTTTAGATGAATGGTTTAAAAAAAAATTTTATACTTGTCCTAATTGTAAAAAACATTTAATAACAGGTAAATACTTTATTATTTTATTAAAATTTAGTTATAAGTATTATAAACCAAAGTATGTTTTAAAAATTTCATTAAAAGTTTTACCACATAAGAATACACAACATATATACAAATAAATAAAACTTGAGTTCATTGTAAGGACAAATTATTTTTAAAAAAATTACCCCTACCAAAAAACAACTATTATATCACATAGCAATAACACGTAAATAATATTTATTAAAAATAATTTAAATCATGTTTTAAAGATTACCAGGGCTCCTAGGTTGATGTATTTCCATACCGGGCTATGGGATCGCCATTTCCCTATATTATTACCTACTGGAATCGTCCACCTGGGACTTTACACCAGTAGGAGCTCTGGACCCCGGGTTCACTACGCCCGTATTACTAATTGCTTAATACTCCCTGAAGGGAAATATGCAACTAATAAAATAATATTTTTTTTAGTATATAGTATTTAAATTAAATATTTTATGTTATTTTGTTCAGGTGTGGACAGTAAGTTTCTAATTTTTTATTTAGTTTATCTAAGTATTTGAGGTAAGTATTACTGAAATTCTGCTAGTAACCTGTAATTTAAAGTCAAAGATGCTATTTAATATCAGTAAACTTTATCTTCTACCGCACCTATATTTTAGTCTTTTTTGCGATCGATAATGCTTAAAAATTGTCATTTTTATTAACAAACACTTTATTAAGATTAAATTGTTTTTAATTAACTTAGTTTATTATGAGAAGCTTCTTAATGGAGGTTTAGATTTTTTATTATATAGATGATGATTTCAAAGCCTGATTTGAAGAGCCAAATTTTTAAACTTACGTCATTACTATTAAGCTAATAAAAATATACACTAACAAATTTAAAATGATTAACTAATATAATTTTACAAATATATCGAAATTTATATAAACCATTTATTTAAAAAAACAATAACAAAACCGTTATTAAAATAACTTTGTATACAATATACCATATATATTAGGATGTTGCTTAAAATGTAAAAAAACAATTTGATATCAAATCTAGGGGAGGAACCTCGTCATAATGTTTATTCTACTTAAAAAATAATGAAATACTTTTATTTAAATTATAAGACCATTTTAAAATGATGCTAACAAGAGTTAATTTGGAAAAAAAAATTTAATTAAAAAAAAATGTTATTTTTTAATTATAATATAACTTTTGTTATTTATGTATAACAAAATTAATGAATGTCTTTAATGATTATTTACTTTAGAAAATTATAAAATATTATGATAACAAGATAGTTTTTTTTTGTGTCAGGATATTATTGTCTAAACTTTGACAATTAATAACAAGAATTGTTTTTGTTCGTAATTCTTAGCTTGTAATTAATTGTATTCCTCCATTTAAAGTCACGCCTCGTTCTGTTTCATCATTAACAATCCTCTTAGATCTAATTATTTCCAAATTTGTTTTATAGTCTTTGTCTTCCATTCAATTTCCAATATCTTTACTTATAAACTTGAAATACCCAAGATGGTGAAAATTCGAGAGTGTTGTTAGATAAAAGTCTTCCAGGTTTATCACAGTGACTAAATTGGGATCTATGTTTATCACAGTGACTAAATTAAGATCTATATTTATCACAGTGACTAAATTGGGATCTATATTTATGCGTTTCAAAAGAAACTCCGATTTTTATATTCTGAAAAGCAATCAACATTTTACAATTAGTTTCAAAAAACACTTTTTCGTCAAAAAAAGCAAAGGCTACTAGTTTTTCTGTCAGGTACCAAAGATATCAAAGGAATTTATGCATATTTCGTTTTATGTCTTGCATCATTTATCTCTTCATATTCTTTTAAAAACTTTTATAAATTTTAGATTAATTTTAGGTGAAAAAATCGCTAAAAAAGCTTAAAACCAATATTTATTATAAAAACTGATTGTGAAAATATAAATGACAAAATCAAATAAAATATAAATAAGTTTGTTTGAAAAACTTTAAGTTGTTTTGGAATAAAAATACGTATTTCTATTGTTATACTTAGGTATATATAACTTTTTTAAACCTTTTTTTAGGATGTAGAATGTGTGATCAATTTTTAAGTGTGGATGTAACTAATGTAAATTGTTGTGAAAATCAATTACATAAGAAATGTTTAGATGAATGGTTAACAAATAAAGAGGTTGCTTGTCCTAATTGTGATAAAAATTTAATAACAGGTGAAAACTTCATATTAGAGTGATTTTAAGATATATAAGGTGATTATTTTAACCACTCGATTTCTCTTAATATAATACATTTTATTAGTTTTTATTAAATAAATATGTATTATCTCTTATGTTTTATAGGGGTGTCAACTTTATTTTTTTAAAGGCAACATGTATATTTAAGTAGCTTATAAAATAGAGTGTTGTGTAATTAATATAGTGACTGATCGAAGACACCTTTTGACCCATTATTTCGGATGTTATGATTATTTTATAATATGGAGTGTAGATAAGGTATAGATTGTTATTTTTATCATTATGTATTATTTTGCCGTGCTCTTACCTCATTCTGTATTTTATAATGTTAATAACTTTTTATTAGTACTATTTCAAAAATTGTTATCGACTAATTATTTTTTTAATTAGATCTTTTTTATTTTATAAGCTAGTTAAATGTGTATGTTTCCATTAAAAAAAATTAAGTTGACATCTCTATTGGATATAAGGCATAATACATAATAAATATTTTATAGAATGTAAATGCAGATTCATATGTAATTAACAAAAGCCATTATATTAAGAGAAATTGAGTGCCTAATGTAAAAAGAATCATGATGTTCTTTTGAAAATTCATTTAATACGCCTCCTAGAATTATTATTATTAATGGTCGTACCGAAGTCCTAATACATAATTGAACTTATTAAGCAATTTATACAATTGTTCTGTTATATATAAAAGTTTTATAATATTTAAGTGAAATTTAAGTCAACAATGGAGCCAGTATTTTGTGTGAGGCAACTAATAGAAAAGTTTAGGGAAAAGAAGAAAAAGCTGTGTGTGATATTTATAGATTTGGAGAAAGCGTATGATAGAGTACCGAAAGAGGTTTTAAAGTGGGTATAAATGAGAAAAGGAGTCCCAAAAAGGTACAATAATATAATAGAAGATGTGTGTGATGGGTATGAGTAGGAGAGCACCCAGGTTCTGCTTTAAGCCCTTACTTATTCTCTATAGTGATGGATGAAATTACTAGAGAAATACAAGGAGAGGTGCCGTGGTGAATGTTGTTTGCTGGCGACATAGTGTTAATAGGAGAAAATAGGGAAGAAATTAATCAAAGGCTAGAGGTGTGGAGATCAGCTCTCGAAGAAAAGGGTTTAAGAATAAGTAAAAGTAAAACAGAGTATATAAAGTACGAGTTTGACAAAGGAGACCACGAGGTAGGTGAAATAAGGAGACCAGTGACAATAGACGGCAACATGATAGGACAGGTGGAAAGTTTTAAGTATTTAGGATCAGTTGTGTAAAAGAGTGGTGGTATTGACGAAGATGTAAGACACATTATTAAGTGCGGGTGGTTGAAGTGGAGAGAAGCGTCTGGCGTCTTATATGATAAAAAAATTCCAATGAGGCTGAAAGGTAAATTCTACAAAACTGTAATAAGGCCAGCTATGATTAAAAAATTCAGAGAAAAGGTTGGTTGTAGCTAGATACATTCATTAGGATGTTTCAAATTGATTATGAGAGGATAATCTACATTTTTACATGGGCTATTGTTATTAGATAATTTTTTTTTGTATAATGTGACTGGTTTAAAATGTTTAAAATTTCATGAGCTTATTTCAATGCAAGTTCCTACGCATCATGTTTATAGCTATAAAGAAAAATAAATATTTAAAATGCATGAAAGTGTTATAAATATATTTAAATAAAAGTATTTGAATAATTTTATTAATCATTTGGTTGAAAATTAAAAATTGATTTTTTTAAAGTATTTTATATTTTTTTATTATTAATGTGTAACTAATAAAAAGAGATTCCCTTTTTAATATATAATATTTCAATTAAATAATTTATGGTAATTTTTTCAGGTTTTAGCAGTAAGTTTCTAATTTTTTATTTAATTCTATGTTTTGTGGTGGTTGTAATTTAAGTTTTATTAGTAACCTGTAATTACAAGTCTTTCCAGAATAATGATATATTTTTTACATTTTAACTGAATAAGAAAGGTTGTTTATAATTCTCATTATCGTTATTAATTTTTATTTATTACCGTTCTATTATTCCTTATTAATAATTCAGAGAATATTCACTTTATACTGTAACTGCATCTTTTTGGTATGTATTCCAACTGGTCTTACAACTAATCACGCAATTTTTTCAAAAAATTATTAAAATAATTAAAGAAACAAAGTGAGTATGAGCTAATTTTAAAATACCTACCATATCAAAAAACAGCCTAACTCTAAGTAAAATTAAACATTGATTACCTAAACGTGCGAAGCATAAACTCTAAAATAGACTTGTTAATTTGTAATATAGTATTCATGATAATGTTATTCACATTCACTCTTGGTGATATCCACAAACATATCAATTAGGATAAAATTAGTGTACTATTTATCGCTGAGAAAGATTACCTCTTGTTATTTCGTTTTCTCGTTGAGGTGATGTGTTGATTGTTATTAAAAATAATTTTATATCGTACCATTTATCTATTAATGATTCAACAACGAACAGGTATATATATTTATTTAATCCCGTAATAAATCTATTATTATTGACAGTGTATACATTCTACTTTGACTGAACATCGACTGTTTAAATGCTACTTTGAAAACTATTGAAAACATAATTTTCACGTATAATAAAACTAAATTGCTCCTTCAAGAAGATTTTAATTTATCTAAATTGAAATGGCGATCTACTGCTGGCGGTTTACTTAATTTACTTTGGGGTCAATCCATGCCAAATATATAGTTGTAGCGAAATGATGAAACATAAAATAACTTTAAGCCTCATAAATTTTGTCTCAGAATATGAAAGAGTATAATATTTAATATTTCTGAATAATCTATCTTATTATCCAACAAATTAATAAGACACATAGCATCTAGATATTTCCTAATAGTTTCAAGTAATTCTATATAATAATATTTAATTATCTCTATATTTGTTAAATTTTCATCTCTTATTTTAAAAGCAAACATTTTAATAAATTCTGCTTGTAAATTTCTTAAGCTTTCGATTAAATCACTCTGACTTGGATTCCAAATTATTGTATCAAATTCACGTACTGATTGTACTATAGAAAAACATTTTTAAACATTATGATCCGAAAGCTCCTTTATTTTGAGTAACTTCAAAATGATAATTAAATGACAAATTACATGATTGCCAAACACTCAAATCTTTTACATGAGAAACACAATCAATTTTCATGTTTGTGAACTTATAATTTAAAACATTTATTAACCGAGAACGAATAAAAATACTCTGACATATTTAACAATATTGGGTTGAAGTAGGTTTTACAAATACCAATTACAGATTGAATCATTACAAGGTCAACGTCACTTTTAATTTCGGATAATAATTTCATATCATCAGCAAATAATAAGGATTTGAGTAACTTATAAACTGAGCTAACATCATTAATAAATAAAATAAACAAAATTTCCAACGCCCCAAAAATATGAGGCTTAAAGTTATTTTATGTTTCATCATTTCGCTACAACTATAATATGAATGGTCAATTGAATCATTTAATATTCGAAAGAAATCAATTAAATGATTAAAATTTTGAGTTTTTTTTATAATACACGTATTTAAAAGAGGTCTATTTTAGGCTAATTGATATTAAAAATTATTATTGTATTTCTGTTTTATTATTTATACTCCATGCCTACTGGGCATATAAAAAGTGTTCAGTAAGTAAGGAAACGAGTTATAATTACTGAACGTTCTGTATATTGTAAAATATAAATATTAATGAAGCTATTGATTACTTTTATGATATACTCTATGAAGCAATTTATAATTTTTTACTTAATATTGTTTTACAAAAATCATATTTTCCTTTTGGTATTCATCAGAAACGATGTTGTATTCAAATAAAAAAAAAATTATTAATTTTACACAATACATAAATGACTAATTGGAGAATGGCTATCAATTTAACGTTTTGCACTGATTTTTCTAAAATCCTTTTATACGATTAAACATTATATTCAAGAAAAAAAGTCCCTGAGTCACTTGTAATTTTTAGTTCTTAACAAAATTCCTCTTTATAGCTCAGTCTAAAAAAGGTTGATATCTATTTTTTCCAAAATTTACATTTTCTGTACAATTTAAATTTTTTAATTTTTGTATTTTAGTATGTAAAGAGTGTAATCAAGATGTAATTATGAACATAGCTGTAGCTGAGTGTTGTAAAACTCAGTTACATCAGGAATGTTTAGATAAATGGTTAACTAATTCGATAAGGTGTCATTTATGTGAAGGAGATTTAATATCCGGTAAATATTTAATAACATTACATAAATTTAGTTTTTTTTTTTAGAAAAATAAATACACAAAAATGTTAACTAATATGTGGGTAACATTAGAATGACTATAAGCTACATTAGTAGGTTTTTTTTAATAATATTTAGAAGTACCATCCCTAGAATTGTTCGAATACCCCAAAAAAAATAATTGTGCAAAAATTGATGACGATTATCAAACTATAAGGCATGCCCTAAGAGGGTTAAAAATGATAACCTATGGGAAGGTTTTTAGTTTTTATTTCTATCTCCTAAACATTAACTTTTACGAAAAAGTTCATAGAAACTTATTTGTAAATATGTTTTGCTATAAATAAGATATCTACAAACATTTTTCAAAAATTGTTATTAGCCTAACAAAAAAATGAAAATGCAAATGTTCTATATTTACCGTTGAAACTATTAACTTGATTTATTTTATGAACCGTTCACTGTAGAAAAAAAATATTCGCACAAAAATTGTTCTAAATTAAATTTTCTATATATTTTTATTTAACTTTTTTTTTTTATCATTTACTAATCACAAAGTACATTAAATCATTTGTACAATTAATTAAAATAAAATATTCAGACTTAAATACACCGGTACACAAAAAAAAGTTGTCTGTACTTTTGACCGGACCCACCTACAGACATGTATTTTGACCCGCTGAATCCGAATTTGAAGTCTGTTTGGCTCGGTCACCCTTCAGATTTGAGTAAAATACAAAAAACCAAAAAATAGGCAAAAAATTGCAAAAACTGCAATCAAAGCGATGAAAAAAATTTTGTGCACCCTGATCAAGTATGATTTTTATGTATTTCGATTTACTGAAACTGAATCTGAACGTTAATTAGCTTGTTGAGTCGTCAACATTTGAAAAATTGCAAAAAAACCCAAAAAATTACAATAAATCATGAAAAATCGAAATTATCGAGCTGAAAACAATTTTTTGGATTCAGATTGAGTATGATTTTTATCTATTTCGATTTACTGAAACTGAATCTGAACGTTAATTAGCCTGTTGAGTTGTCAACATTTGAAAAATAACAAAAAAACCAAAAAAAATCAGGAAAATTGTATTTATAAATATGAAAAAAAATTTATAGAACACGATTAAATACTTTTCTTGTATTTTTTCACGCATAAAATAGGAGTTTAGAATATGAAAATATAAAAAATTGTAATATTTATAAAAAAAATGACTGGAATGAAGAGAACGATTTTCTCGAATTTTAACCTCTTCATGCACGGTGGCATCATTACCACTAAATTGTAGAATTTATATAAAATCGAAAAATCGTGGTAGCCATGTAATTATTGTTTTCGTTTAATGTACGGAATGTTACGCATCGGTCTACTTGGTTATGTTATCATTTGTGTTATCATTGAAAGAGATATATTAATAAACGCGAAACTGTTATGTGCATTTGAAAAAGTCAAATTTTACTTTTTTTTTTATATATAATTAACGACCAAATAATGTAAGTATATTTATAATTAATTACTTTTATTACATAATATAGTACGACCTATTCATATTTGGCAATATTGAAACAATATAATGTTGTTATGTATTCGAAATTGCTTAGGTACCACGTGGTATTGAATGATACTACTGTGCCTATTATATGAAAAATAATAACAATTTATACTATGATGTTTTTTTTTCTAGTTGAAAATAGATCTCAGGGATAAAGATATAGTTTTTTTTTTTGATTTAGAAATCCCTAGTGATTCAGAATGTGCTGTATGTCCAGAATGTATGAGAGCATTTCACACTAAATTAATAAAAAATTGACTACAGTATATATTATTTTGTTAAATACTTTTAAAATATGTTATAAAACTTATATTCAGTTAAAAAACTGAAGTTATCAGAAGTCTGAAATTTAAGAAACATACCTAGTCTTATTTATAATTTTTTAAATATTATTTGTTTATTATTATTCAATATTGATCTTTTAAAACTTGTTTTATTATATATATTTTATGAACTTAATTTTATCTGAACGTTAATTAAAAAACGTTTTAAAATAAAAAAAATCTCAAAAAACCAAAAATATTAGGAAAATTGTATTTATAAATATGAAAAAAAATTTATAGAACACGATTAAATACTTTTCTTGTATTTTTTCACGCATAAAATAGGAGTTTAGAATATGAAAATATAAAAAATTGTAATATTTATAAAAAAAATGACTAGAATGAAGAGAACGATTTTTTCGAATTTTAATCTCTTCATGCACGAGATTTTTAATTAATACAATTAATACAATTTCAAAAATGTGATATCTACACAGTAAATACAAAATATTACGCATCAACATTTGCTCCAATAATATGCAGGCACCTTTAAGTCTATCTGTATTAGAAACTATTGTATCACAACATAATGATTTTTCTTTTTCAGTTAAACTCAATTTTTCAATTAGTTGTTCTACATAATTATTGGTAAACTTTCAACTAGTTGTTTCCCTTATAATTAAAGAAGAAGTTTTCCATCTTTCTATGGGAGTATACCAGATAAAAACATGTAATTAAACATTTAAAAATAATAAACAATAACTTAATTTTGTGAATGACTTTTTCGTAAGCACATAAATATAATGAATTTTGTGGTTCTTAAATTTATGAAAATAATGAGAAAACCGTATAATTTCATAGAATAATTAATAAAAAAAATGTTAGATAAAAAATATATAGAAAATTTAATTTAAAACAACTTTTGTGCGAACATTTTTTTCTACAGTGAATATTTTATAAATAAATCAAGTTAATAGTTTCAACGATAAATATAGAACATTTGCATTTTCATTTTTTTGTTAGGCTAAATAACAAATTTTTTTTGGGTATTCGAACAATTCTAGGGGAAACTACTATTTCCTTCATTATTTCTATGATTTATAAGTATAATATATGAATAAAGATCTATTATAGCAATTAAATATAGTATAAAAGTAATATTCAATAATTTAATATTATAACATAAAAAAAAAATAATCAAAATATATAAGTTAATATGAAATTTAACAACACAGCAGACGAAATCATAGGTGAAAGTAGGCATGAAATATATCTGAATGTCAATATAATATAGAATACTACTGGGTATAACTATACTAAATATAGTTTTAAATATATCAACTATAGCATCTACTTAAACACTAAGAGTTACATATATGTGATTACTACGATTTTTTCCGAAATTAGTAAGAAAAAAATATTGATTTTGACGAAATTTCAAGCTTTTCTCATAAATTTACTGTTAATAGTAATTATATAAGTTTCTGACAACATATGGATCTAAAATATACGATTTTTTAAACTCTCATACATTTTTTTATTTAATGGTATTAATATCAAAGTTGTGAGTTGAGCTAAGAAGTTTAAAAGTTCAACATTTTTAAATTAAAAAATTTCATAAAAATCATTTTTAAAGTATCGAAAAAGAAAAACGTTTAACATGACATTATTAATCGAAATTTTGCACGAATTATTTTTAACATATCAAAAATCAATAACAACTTGATAACAATTTTTTTTTTTTTTTTTTAATTAATATTTTTATATGTAAATACTTGTTTTTACTATGAAGTAATAATCTTAAAAAAATGGTAATAAAAAAAATCCTGATCGAGTGGCTGCTTGTGTTTAATGTACTGTCTTACTTGTGTCTGTGTTTTCTCTGAGTGCGTTATTCTCTATAAAAGCAGGTTTGAGTTGATCAATTGATATTGTTTTACTAGTACCGTTGATTTGAAGATGAAATGTCTTGGCTTTTCTTTTTAACACTTTAAAAGGTCCTTCGTATGTATATGTTAGTTCTGATCTTATAATATCAATTTTTTGATATACATGGGTACAAGTTCTAAAATCTCTATGCATGTCTGTTTTGATGATAATGTTTGGTGGTATACTATTATGGCTAATTTGGATATTTGTAATTGAAGTTGTTTTATAAAATCTTATCGTTTTGGTAGTTCTTTTTTGCTTCAAAGAAATATCCAGGTAGTATTAGTGTTTGACGGTTGATTAGTTTGGTTGGAGATGTTTTCAAGTCTTCTTTAAGGGTTGTACGTTGAACTAATAAAATAATATGTAGTTCTGAAGACTAATGGACGCTATCTTTACATGTTATAGTGGCTTCTAGTGTCCAATATACTGTATCTATTATTCCGTCGGTTAGTGCATGGTACGTTGATGAACGTATTTTTTGAAAACCTAATGTTTTTGATAACTGATTATATAATATTGACTCAAGTTGTCTACCCTGATCGATCGTTATTCTATGGAGCACTCCGAATCTTGCAATCCAATTCTGAATTAGAGTAGTTAGATTCATATGTTCGAACGTATATGAGTAGTAGATCGAAACGACCTTTTGGTGGATTAAAATACCCAATTTGGCGGACTGTGAGTTGTGACCTCGGCTTGTTCCGCATCACAGATTCTTTAAGTTAGTGTTACCGTGTGTGAGTTGTCGGCGAGCGATGTCGAGTTTTCTGATATACTATTGTTTAATTGTTTAACGTAATTAAACTGAAGTATTGTTGTTTAATTATTAAACTTTGTGAGAAGGTTGTAAGATAAAATTCAATACTTAATACTTGTTATTATTTATTTATTGTAATTAAAATAATTGGATAGTAACTAATAGTAATAGTAATAAGTACACTCGGTAATACGACGGCGGAACTACAACAAATTATTATTAAAAACATAGACCAAATATACACAATTCGAGTGATCAGAAATGTGCTAGATCAGCACGTCGTCATTATAACGATTTTACCAATTTTTTTTTTCGTTAATTTCCATACAAATCGTGATTTAATTAATATAGAGTTCCTTTTATTACATAATGAGATAAGTTATGTATTGTTGAAAAGAATTTTCTTTTCTGTGATGGTTGGGTTGGGTTTACGATTGGTCGTATTTTACCAGTACTTGTGGCGCATTTTATTTTTTTGAACTCTTACTCTTTACATGTTTTGAATTTTTAGACTAGTATCAGTTAATATATAAGCTTTGTTTTGTGTTTTGGCTATTTATTCTATTAGGTTTATTGGGTCTGATATACTTGATATGCTTTCAATTCAGAAAAGGTAGTCCGTGGTAATGTTATTCGATCCGATAATATATTGTGTGATATAAATGAAAGTTTTTGTTGCTGTTGTTCAGATACTTTTTTTATTTTTTGTTAAAAACATGAACCAATGATTTGTGATCTGTATAAATTGTAAAACCTTACAATTATAAGCTTACGACTGTGAAATATAAGTAGAAACATTTTATTTTAATTACTTGGTATACAACTCCACCGATTGCTCTATTACTGGCGTCTTTAGTAAGTGTTAACGTGGCTAACTCATGTGGGTATGCTAAGTATGTTGATTATTCTAGTAATTTTATATATATATAAAATACTTCTTTTGCTTTAGGTGTATAACTCAGGTGTAATTTTTTTTTATTTTCTGGAATATGCTTATTCAAACATAGTTGGTGATGCGCAAAGTGTGGTAGAAAACGTCTATAAAACTTATCATATTGAGAAATCGCCGTAGGTTTTTTATTTGATTGGGCATACCTATTCCTCTAAAAATTTAAAATTTTTCTGGTTCCGGTGTGGTTTCTTCTTTTGAAATTTGGTGACCTAAAAAAGTTATTGACTTTTATCCTAAACTGCGTATTTTAAGGAGATCTTAATACCACGTTGAGTATTTCTAATACTGTACATAGGTGTATTTTATGCTATTATTCGGATTCTGAAAAAATTAATATATCATCTATGTACGCAACTGTAGATGGTAAGTCTCGGATTATTTTGCTTGTGAACCTCTGGTACGTTTGTGCACTGTTTCTTAGTCCATAAGGCAAATTTAAAAATTCAAAAAATTGTTTTATTTATAGTACGAAATATAAGCATTCATTTATCATATGTCAAAATTGCATAGTATTTCTGGAACATTTTTCAAAAGTTAAGTTGAAAAATTTCTACTTATTACATATATGTTTCAAATTTTGAACCCTTTTGTATAAGAAGAAATGGTCTGATTAAGTATGTAAATATAGTATGTTGGATAAAAGGAGTATAATGTACCCCATCGTATCAAGTATTTATGAAAAAAATATTTGTGTTGATACATACAATACATTTTCAAAAAATTATAGCAATATAAAGTTAAAAATCAAAAATTTTAACATAAAAATAACATATTTTTTAACTACGGCAACTATTTGCACATAGAAGATAAGTCGCCAGAACAAATTTTCAATTTTTTTAACTTATAGAACGTAACATAAGCTTTTATTGAACATATGATTAAAAGACGTAGTATTCTCGGATTATTTCAAACGTGAAGTAGAAAAAATTAACTTTTCGTGCATAAGTTGCTATTTTGAAACTCGCTCTGTTGGCAGGTTAAGGGTTAGAATATCAAACAATTTAAATCAAATGAAAGAGTAATACCTAATGTGATTATATTAAAAAACGGTAGCACAGTGGAGTGGCGGCACAGTATGGGCGTGGCATAGTTGGGACAAGTATAGATGATATCTGACAGTGATTAAAATCACTATCATAAGTAACCGTTCGATGCAAATCTGTAGATAGTGTTTAATTTTAAGAGATTTGTAGATTGTTACAAAAACAACCATAACTCTTATTTCCTTAATTTTATCCCGAATTATAATTATAGTATATGAATAAATATTATAATAAATAATAATTATAGTAATTAAATTTAGTATGAAATAGATATACAATATTATAATATTGTAATTTTTACGGAAATAAAAAGAAGTTGTATATCCCTTTACTTTTAACGTGTATAAAAATTTAAAGGGTTTGATGCAATACATTTTAATAAAAAATGTTGTTACTTTTGAATAAATACACTAGACTACAAGGAACTTTCATCAAAAACCTATATATACTGTCACGACTATCGTCGTGGAACGCTAATTAAATGACACGAGTTTTAGTTCTACTATAAAATGGCGTGAAGCCGTATATTGTTTCTTCTAAATATAGTCACAAAAATAAGAACACAATAAAATATACAATGTACTCAATACTTAATCACAAAACCGACAGTAAAATCGTATGTGCGACGAGTTGACAGGTGTAATTTTGATAGATCCGTATCGTACGGGGTCACGGAGATTACTTAACGTATATTTGCGGCGGGTCGTAGATGGACGTGCGGCACTTGCTGGACTTTGTACCGTGGCGTATCGCACGCGGTGTTAGTCAGTCAAACTACCATATGCACGTAGTAGGGCGGCGGCTGATAAAGGTGTCACGGGTCGCGGGGCTCCGTGTATAGAGAACGACGCGGGACCGTGTCAATACTTTTCTAAAACAACTTTTGCACTGTTTCAAATCTGCAATTAGACTCTTTCTAACACTTCTTATTTTTTATATTATTACTAATTACATATAAAATAACAATTAAAAGAAATAAAAATTTGTTTTCAAATTATTACTGTTTTTGATTTTTAATATATTAAAAATAATCAGTCCAAAATTTCATTTTTAACATTTTATTTTATAGCAATTTTAAGTAAATAAAATTGAAAAAATGTCAATTATTAGCGATTTTTATATTTGTAATTTTTTGGGGGATTTACCCCGTTTACGGGGAACGAGGGAATTTTTTTCAATTTTTGAGGGTAATGTTTTCGACTAGATACGATTTGTGATCATTTGACATATTTTTCATCAAAATCGGTCCAGCGAGAGCTGAGATTAAGCGTTCACAGACACGAAAAAAAAACACATCATAGTAAAATTAATACCTTCTCAGCTTCGCATTGAAGCTAAAATAATTATGTTTTGTTCATTTTTAAAAATTATGATAGTTATTAAAAATACTATCATAGTTTTAAGAAAAAAAAGTTTTAAAAATGTACAGATTTTAAAACCGTAAATTTTGGGAATCGATGGTATTTTTTCATTTTTTGAGGTTATTATCTTCAACTCTATAGGATTTGTAATATTTTGACGTATTATTGAGAAAAATCGGTCCTGTGAATAAGTAGCTAATCGCTGAGAATAAGTGATAACAGATACAAAAATTAATAAATAAACACATCATAGTAAAATTAATGTCATCTCAGCTTTGCAGCAAAGCTACAAAATTATCATTTTGTTGAAAATTAAAATTTGATTTATTAAAAAAATGTTATGTTTTAGTTGTTGATGTGTGATTTTTAATGAAATTGGTATTTATTTATATTATTTAATATTTTAATTGAAGAATTTATGGTATTTTTTCAGATTTTGATAGTAAGTTATTAATTTTTTATTTACTTTATCTATATTTTGTTCATAGATGAACATTAATACATAGGCTACATGAATTCTACTAGTAACATGTTATTTTAAGTAAAATATAATAATATTCCATATCAGTAAGTTTAGTTTTCTGAAGTCTCTTCAATTTAGCCTTCAGTTTCTGATCATATTGGTCCTATTAAGAAGATAAATTTAAATATATTCAGTGGCTGGAATTTTTAATAAAAGAGGGTACTCCTATAAATTGATAATTGTATTTTTGCATACAATTTTTGGGATGGAATTTAAAAAAAAAATTGATTTGGGGTAAAAAAAACATAGTTAACACTTATTTTGAAATAAATGATATTTATACATTATTTTATTATATTTAAATAATTAGTCTAATAATTTTTATGTAATTGTTTTTATTAATTAAATAATATTGTTTTTTGAGAAAAATAATTTATTCCTAAATGACTAACTATTTTTTCAGTATTATAAGTAAATACTTTGATATTGAACTTCAAAATTACTAATTTTAATTAACTTTGTCATTAATTTGTTATTTCGATAAAGAAATTTNTTCAAAATTACTAATTTTAATTAACTTTGTCATTAATTTGTTATTTCGATAAAGAAATTTGGAAAAGATGTTATTTATTTATAAATTTACTTGTAAAAACTTACCCAATATTAACTGTAATCTTACCCCATCAATGGGGTAAGAGTATGCTTTTTATTTTCGTTAATTACTAATTAATTAAAATTGAACTCTCACTATTATTACTTAACTTTCATGTTTTGATAGTTTATCTAGCTAAAAAACAATATAAATAATTTATATCTACCATAAACTAAAAGTATATGTGACAGAAATCTTCCTAATTCTACAATAATTATATAAATAATCTGACTACTAAATAATATAACTTCAAAAAGAGTGTTGTTGGTGGGCAGCTTCTCTACTCAAAATAATCATGTCAAAAAATCAATATCAACTTTTATACTTATTGTATTAATATTGTATAACTAAAAAATTAAATAATAACGATATCTTTTAATAAATTTTTTTTTTTTTTTTTAAGGATCTCATGTCTGCTCTTTTTGTAAAAGAATGAAAAAAAACGAAAACATGAATTTGGTACTAATGAATTGTTGTAGTATCTATTTATGTACAGATTGTATCAATACAAATTTGAAAACTAAGTGTTTGTGTGGAGGATACTTAGTGGAAGGTACTTAATTTAAAAAATGATATTGTTAAGATTAATATGTAGTTAGGTAATTTTATATTTACTATTTATAGTGCTTTTATGAAAAAAAAGCTCAAAATTTTCATAAAAATCATTTTTTTAAATTTTTATCGTAATAAATCACATCAATAGAAATCATATCACTCATTTCTAAGTAACTTTTGATATTTAAAAAGCTTCTACAATTGACTAAGCAATAAGATTTATCTTAAAAAGGTGAAAAAAAAGTTTTAAACAACTAATTATTGTGGAGTTTTATAAATTAATTTTGATTTTATTTTATTTTTGTCATAAATATTAAGAAATAAATTAATGAATAACATTAAATGAATTTAAATAATTATTATGTTAATTTACAATTCTAGCTTCTAACCTTTTTCTCTTTAGGATAAGATACAGAATTCATAGTGCTCCAGTTTTATCTTTGGCTTTCCTTTGTCCATGTCGAACCCTTTTCAGTGTTCTTTTTAAGTCTAGTTATGAATCAAGTTAGGCTGGTGAAACAAAATTTTAAATTACAAACTGTATAAAAATTTGTTATTACACTTTAGGTATTACTTTCGAAGACGTCCGAAAATGTACGCAGTGTAAGGAGCGTACTGGAAAATATAATTATTCTCCTCGTTGTCCACAAATATTTTGCAAAAAATGCTTTAAACACTTGAATAAATGTTGTGTTGATAAACCACCCTATTGTATCTATTGTTTTGAAGAATATGTGAAAAAACCATTCTTCTCTTGGCATTGAATATGATATTTAACATAATACAATATGAAAATTGCTCATTGTTTGAAATGTTGCAGATTTTTAGAATTATTTAATAATTATATTTTTGATATTATTTTATTAATAAATACATATTTTGAATTAAACTTAATAATTAAAAAATTATTTCTTTTGTATTTATTTATTTTTGTAAGATTCGGTTCAATGCTTTGGCAGTATATTTTGTCGCGATACTCTGTTCTTACATCGCCAGATAGGTGTAATTGATTTATGTTTGTCGAGCAATCACGGCATACATTGGGTAGCTTACAGTAACAATGGTAAACACGTTACATTATTGTATACTTTGGTAATTTACCTCCTCCCTAGGAAGTACAATAGTATTTTAATAGATGCATGATCATTTATAGAAATTACCAGTATTTCGATCAGATCAACTTGACCAGACACTTGATTTTGAAATTTCTCATACATTTTTTTCATGAAAAATAGTTACTTAAAATTTGATATATTTTTTGTAATAATATGATCCTATAACTGACCTCAGTGAACGTTTCAAAATAACAACTTTTCCATGATAAATTAACTTTTAAAAGTGTTCCGAAAATACTGACACTTTTATATATATCTTAAATTAAAGCTTATGTAATTAACTTAAATTTAAAAAAAGATAAATTAATTTCTGGACTTTTCTTTATGATAAATCGAATCGTATTTAACAATACGTCTATTGGTCACAACTAGTGTAAATATGACAGTTTTAAGGAAAAGAAGTATAAAAATCGAAATTTGCCAATTTAAAAATTAATTGATTTTTTGGTGAATTTCCCTTATTTACAGGGAACGAGGGAAATTTTTTTTTTTTTTTAAAGACTGTCTTTTACGTATCGTTAAAATAAATCGGTCCGGTAAGATCTGAGGATATGTGGCAACCTACACACAAACAAAAAATAATAACTTTTCAGCTTCTCATCGAAGCTAATAGTTCACTATGATAGACATAATTTTTTTACTACTAATCACAGCAAAAAGTATAAAACGGTAAAAATAACTGAATATTAAATAGATTTGGTTAAACTTTTCCAATGCATTTATTTGGATGATCTAATATTTAATATAAACTAGTTAATACAAACATAACAATTTTTCAAAAATATCTTAAGTATTTCGATTGCGTAGCAAAAGCGAATGAATGGGATGATAATAAAAAACTTTCTATGTTACCGTTATATTTACAGGATCATGCACTTAAAATATTTGAATTTATAGAATATTGATCGACAAATTTAACTTGGGAAGATGTTTAACTGTCATTAATTAATTTTAACTCTTACAATAATCAAAATTTAATTATGATGAAAATGACGGATAGTGAATCGGTTAAAACATTTTTAGTAAGAGTAGTAGCAGGATGTCGTAGGTTTGAAGGTATCATGTCGGAAAAACATATCATAGAGTATTTTTTTAAAGGACTACCAGTTGAAATAATTAATACATTTAGGTCATTAGATAATAGTACTATAGATAAATTAATAGAAAATATTTTAAGAATTGAAAGAAATACAAATTTAATAAACGACGAAAGCGATGCAGGCATTTTGAAAAAGGAATTAGATTCTCTTTTAAAAAAACATAATGCTAAATTTAATGATTATGGAAACATAAGTTATGTAGGTAACCAAAGTTTAATGACATATCCAAACCATAATCAGCGTAGAGTAATGAATTATAGAACTAATAAATATAGAAAGAACAAATTAAATAACAATTTTAGAAATAATGTAAATAAGAACTATAATAATAAAAATTATAGNGAAAGAACAAATTAAATAACAATTTTAGAAATAATGTAAATAAGAACTATAATAATAAAAATTATAGAGGAAATTTTTATAGGTTTAACAAGATGAATAGGCACTTTTATTATAATGATCGGTGCGTATAACAGTTTTATACGAAAATCACCACATTATCTTCAAAATAATCCTAATCTAGAGAATACACACCATCAGTTAGCCATTCAACAATACGTTCCACCGACTATTTTTTACAATTTTTCTTTTCAACCACCATCAATATGTAATAGCGCGCACAATTCTAATCAATTAAAAGTGAATAAAATTGATACACCTTTAATTAATGAAAAAGTCAATATTAATGATAGGATAGCTAGTTATGAATCAAACACTCAATCCTTAGATTCGTCGATTATAATTGACGATTCTCCACTAATAACGGGCAGAGTAAATAAAAAAAAATATTATTTTCGTCGTTGATACAGGAGCAAGTACAAGCATTATAAATAAGAATTTTTTACCCAGTAATCATATTATTTAGCCACTTAATAATGTTACATTAACTACAGCTAACGGATCACATTTGCATGTGGTAGGTAAAACTACTTTAGAGGTAAAGTTCGAAAGACATATATTTTTGATAGACTTTACCATAGTCGATAATTTATCTTTAAATAGTTTATTAGGATATGATTTTTTTAAAAAATATAGAGCGACAATCTACACCCGAGAGGCTAAAATTACTTTATTAAAAACAATGAAAAAGTAAACATACATTTTGTTAACAATAAAAATGTCTGCAAAGGTTAATCAAATATTGATCAATCAAATAAATTCGACAACTTAAATTCTATCGAACTCATGACTAATCATTCAATAAAATTAGTACAGATGAGTGTTAGGGAAATTGCAGTGAAAAGCGACATTTTAACACAAGTAGCACCAGACGGTTGGCGCGGAGTATCAACACTCGAAGCAGTCTTAAATAATAAAGGTATAGATATTAATGCTTATGAAATTAAAAAAATATTAGGCATTCATCTGTCTGATAAGCCAATTTATTTAGAAAGTGAAGACTTAGCAGCTGTCACAAATCATTTTGGTTTAGGCTTAATAATTATATCAGAAAACAATAATATTAATTCTGTATTACACTTTACAAACCCTAAAAAATCGTTTGTAGTGGTTTTGTTTTCAAATTGCCATTGGATACTCTTAGTTTACAATCCAAATGCTAAATTTATTCGCACAAGTCGTAGTATTATTCAAATTAACGAATTTAATACTTTAGCTGTTAGAAGAAATATTTTGCAAAATAGGATAATTAAATGTGATTTTACTATCTTTCCGACATCTGAACGAGAAAGCAAATTTAAAACACGGAGCGTTAAACAAGACGTAGCAAAAAACATTAACAATGATTCTCACACGAACATAACTCAATTCTCAGAAAACGTTAAAAGTAATATTTCTTTATCTCCTATTGTTACAACATCGGAAAACGTTCTAGACTGGGATATTAATCCAGCGTTACCTATTTATCAGCAAAATGAACTTAGAGGTTTATTAATGAAATATAATACAATTTTTTCTAAACATAAATATGATTTAGGCTCGTGTAAAATTACTCCGATAGAACTTCAGTTATCAAATAATAAAATAATAAATTTACCTAATTTTAAGTTAAGCCGCGTAGAGCGTAATGAAATCGAAAAACAGACAGAGGAACTTTTAAAAACTGGTATTGTAGAGGAATCTTCAAGTCCTTATTTCAATCCTGTGATTTTAGTCGCTAAAAATCAAGGAAAATGCAGCAAAAGTCAAGAGGGATCAAAAGAATACAGAATGCTAATAGACTTTCGAAAACTTCATGAAATAATTTATCGTGAAAGCTTCCCTTTACCAATAATACAAAATTTATATGATTGTTTAGCAGGAAACCAATACTTTAGTTCTTTAGATGCTACTTCAGGTTTCCATCTAATAAAACTTTCTGAAAATTCTAAAGCTCTTAAAGCTTATTCAACTGAAAATGATCATTTTCAGTTTACTCGTTTACCTTTTGGGTTATCTAATACACCCCAATTTATCAAGCTGCTATGTGTAAAGTCATTGCTGGCTTAAATTATAGACACAATATATGCTATTTAGACAATTGTNCTTAAATTATAGACACAATATATGCTATTTAGACAATTGTGTTGCATTTGGCAAATCATTTGAGTCTCATTTACATTCACTAGAATTAACATTTCAACGATTTTTAAAGTATAACTTAAAACTAAAATCATCTATAATTAACCAATTTCATAAAATTAAAGACTATCTATAGATTTTCACCGAAACGTTTTTTATGATAATGATTTTAATCACTGTCAGATATCATCTATACTGGAACCAACTATACCACTACGCCACTTTGCCGCGACCCTACTGTGTTGGATTGTTTATTTTATAAGCTATATAAATATTTAATTTANTTGGGTTGTTTATTTTATAAGCTATATATATATTTAATTTGAAAAATTAAATTTGACACCCTTTTAAGGCATAAATGGATGATTTAACAAACATACTTTATAATAAATAAATCGAAAAATATATAAAATTAAAAACACCATAATGGATTTTCTTCATATAATTATTGTTTTAAGTTAAACTGAATGGCTAATATTAAAAGAATCACCCTGTATAATATGTTGGGAGACTATAGACAGCCAATTGAGCATAAAGAATACATAAAATAAGTTAGTTAAATAGTAAAATGATAAAATAGTTTATCACGTAAAATAAACCAGCATAATTCAATAAAAAATGACTTCGTGATGTAGTACATATATAGTTACAAAAAAATATGTACAAAAATTGTATGATTTTTTGAAAATTAATGCTTATTTAATTAATAACATACAAAAATATATTAAATTCTTAAATAAACAACTAACATGCAATATTAGAGCTCAATATGTTGTTTAATCAATTACATTATTTCATTAGTTTTATGGCAAATGTATTATGCGATCTATTTTTGAATATAAAAATACTATTAAAATAAATACCATGATAAATATCCATGGTTAAAAGACTTATAAAGAGTTTTAAAAAAATATCTTATTATAGCTTGTTAAATTATCACATAATAAAATAATTTATATATTGTCAATTGAAAATGATTTTAAAGACATTTACTGCGATATTATTTTTGTTATGTATTGTGAAGCTAAAAATATGTTATGGCATAAAATTCTGGAAGACAAAAGATAAATCATTAGAAAGAGCTTTAAAGTTAGACACTGGTTTCGAGTATCCTAGCTATGAGGATCTATGCGATTTGTCAATGGAAGATTTCAAAAACAAAATCTGCGCAGGAGATACAGTATTAAGAAGTATTACTGATTCAATAAAAACAAAAATTCACTTTATAGAGTTGGATCTCCTTTGTGGTAATACATTCAATCTTCTTCAATATTTGAATCTTATTTATTTTTTCATTAATTTTCCGTCTGGACAAACATATGATATAAACAGAATTATTTTAAACGAATCAATTACAAAACATATTTTAGTTATTTTGATGAAAAAGAATCGCAAAGAAATATTTGACGGTTTTTGGGCAATGCATTTTTATATTTCTTATATTCGATTGTTTGGTAATGAAATACATCAATGTCCATATAATATTGCAAATGCTCACCAAATCCTTCGCACAATGTTAATATATTTTTCTTTAAATGTATGTAGATATAATAATAAGTATGACGTAAAAGATACTCCTTCAGATATTTCGGAACAATATTCAACTCTCACGAATCTTATAGATGTTATGATTCGAAGAAGAGAAATCAACAAAAATGTATTGGTAATTGGGGACAAAGATGAAAGTGCATTCTCACTCAGAAGTATTTATATGTGCGACATAATTGAAAACAAAGAATTATTGAGAATTGTTATAATGGATTTCGGTGAACAAAGTAAAGATACGTTTGATGCTATTTATAATGACATACATGAAGCATACAAACAAGCAAAGAATTATTTTATGTTTGATTTATGGATAAAACGAATTGGAGTTTATCAACGAAAAGTCTTAAACGTTTTTAAAACCGTTTTAATGAATTTAATGAAAAAACACTTTATCTACAGTTCTTTAATGTTAGACAATGAACAAATAGATAAAGTAAAATATTTCATAGATAAAATAGCAAATTCACTTCAAAATTTGACTTTGTTATTTAATGGCGTAGAAGCTCATGATTTTGAAAAAATGTTCAAATCTCTCACAGATTTACCCTCAGATCATCAAAATCTTAGATATTATCATGGTATTTTGATTTTAAATATCGAACGCATAATAGATACAATAAAACCCAACTTTTTTAAATTAATTTCAAATGATATAATTAGTGACTCAGACTATGAATCGAAAATCAATTTTGAAACTATAATGTATATTGTAAGAAATGAATTGAATGAAAATAAATCCATCAAAAATATTGAAAATTTTTGTTCATTTTCAGATTCTAAAGGAATGAATGATAATTTTGTAAGAATATTTTTATTTACGAATTTATTAAATAAATCATTCGAAAAAGTAAGCATAATAAGTATTTTATCATGTTTAAAATTTTGTGAATCTTTGGAAACATTTGGTTTTAATAACCATGGTCATGTAGATGGTGAAAATGAGGAAAGGTTATTGGAATTGTGAAACATATTTTTTAAAACAAACTTCAATCATTTACAATTATAAATAAAATTTTTGATTCCAAACTTTTATTAAATTTACATACTTTGCAGTTAAAAAACGCCTTTTTTATTTATTTGGCATTAAACGAAATCCACTCATTTATACTAAAATGATTTTTATAGGTGTTTTATAAATAGACTTTCTCATTCTGATTATTTGACATCCAAAATATTAATGAATATTTTATATAAAAATAATGAATAACATTCATATTCTTAGAATAACAATTGTTTTTAAATAAATAGTTTGTTATAATTCAAATAACAAAAATTAATAAAATAAAAATAGAAATAGGCTAGGGCCTTGTATATGGTGAGAACCTGATGTTGTGTTTCTATCGGGGTCGTATGGTTCGAGGGTTTAGAACGATAAAGACAAGTAGATATAAAAAATAATAACGTAGTACCTCTAATTAAGGTGTAATATGCTATCGTCTGGATAGTTTCTAATGTCCTAACTAAGAAGTAACGAAACGCAAAGTCAGTTCACGAAAACCTCGGCAACGAGACGGCAGAGCCAGCCCACGAATACCAGAGCCTAACTTATACAGTAGAAATCACGCTAGGTTTTTTTAAAACATCTTTAAGGCAACAAAACGGCAGAGCCAGTTCACAAATACCATATAACGTGATTATGTATAATTTTTTTTAACTAACCAGTCAAAATTGACACTTTAAGATATTAATTTAAAAAAAGATCTATTGCTTTGTCATCCTTTACTCAAACTTATTAACTCCAAATAATTGGGTTAACATAAATTTACTTACTTCTTTTATTCTTGCAAATTGCTGTAAAATGATTTGATAAATATCTTGATATGTTTATACATGCTTAGAAGTATTTAATTCACACTTCGTCACAAGATAAATAATTAAAACAAGTTCTTTTCATATATAAATAAAACGCGTTAAAGTCAGCCGACAACAACACAGGGTTGTGACTGATAATTGTTTCTTTTCTATTATTATTTGAATTCAGTGAAAGCGAACTCTCGTCACTCTTTCGCTCCTAAAGTCTGAAAGGATTTCAGTGCTTTTTTATAGTAAAATGATAGTACCCCCAATCCAGGGTTATTGTTGTCAGCACTTTTAGTGATCTTTTTAGTTTATTATATTTAATTATACATTATATGATTATTATATTGAGATAGCATATTTAACAATTGATAAATTGACATATATATAAACTGATAAGAAATTGTGTTGAACAGTGTACATATTATGACAGATAAGATATTTGTTTGTTTACAAGTAATATAAAATACAGATTATAAATTTTTCATTGATAAATGTAAGATGCGTAATGCAAAACATTGAGTATATTACGACAAGTTTAAATAAATAATTTAAAGAAAATTTTACAAACGCATACTGTTGTTTAATTATATTATATTACATATGATTCAGTTAAAGGTCAATTATTAGTCACCTTTTAAAATCACTCTTTTCTGAAAACATATTTATAATTTATACATGGCAACTCCTTTTACTCTTATCTTAATAAGTAAACGCATGTGGCAACCCTAATCTTAAATTTAAAAACAAACTATATTTACGTTTTATAAAATGTTAAAATGATTTATATATTATTCATATGTATTAATTAATATAGAATATTCAGTAAGGAAACGGGTTTCTATTGTTTTCATTGTTTATTACAATTCACCTGTTTCCTTACTTACTTGAAACTCCGTATATTTTATGCTTACTTATCAATTAACAATAACATTACAAGAATGAAACAATGATGATTGTTCGGGGATAAAAAATACTATAAAAAGCAGATTAATCTCTCAGTCAGTGCTGAGTGCTAAAATATTTGGTCTGTTTGAATTGTCGTAACACAATAAGTGGGAAGTGGAATGCAATGTGTACGAAAATGAAGATGAGGATGTGGTGACTGCAGTCTTGGTATTCACGCGCGTGTTGTCATACAGCAGTCACCGTGCTCAGCTGACACTCCGGGTTAGCTGTGGGTGTCGAAAGGCTGTTTTTATAGGAAGGGAATAAGGGTAACAGGTACGAGATACAGACGAAGTGCAAGACATAAGTACTTTGGTTATTAGGAGAGGATAATGAAGTAGGAGGTGCAGACGAAATGCAAGACACGAGTACTCTGAAATGTTGTGGAAGAGAGTAGATAGGTTAAAAAGGAAAAAACAAAGACTTTACTTTAAGCAGTAAGCCGGACAGCGACAACCGAGTACTGAGACTGTTGAATGACACAAGGCACTGGAGTCGACTGACAAAGATGGTCAGGTCTTTTGGGTTTTTATAATAATTTGAACTATTGCCAATTTGGCAATAAATATTATTTGTTAATGCATCATTCTCAGGAAACGGATCTGCTGTCTGTATTTTATTATAATAATTCTCACAATAATGGTAACGTGACACCATCACAGAATCGTGCTCTCAAAATCATAACGTAAAATTTGTGATCATCATTGTCAAAATTCTTACGTGTAAATTTGTGAACTAAAATCTGAAATTTGTGTTATTTTGACTATCAATTATTACTTAATACTGTCACTGAAGTTATTATAAGAATAGAGAAAAATGATTAGGTAAGATTTTAAATCAATAAGACTCAATAATTATGTTATTTTGTAACCTTCGAATCACACCTCGAATTAAAGTATTTCTCACATTTTATCCAACACACCTTTTCTTTATTTTATTATATTTTAAATTAAAATGCACTAGTCGAATTATTTTGAATTAATAATCTGAGTAAAGAATGAGAAAGCAATAGATCAATGTTAATTTTCATAATATCACATACTCGTTTAGCTATAGTTACCAATAACATGACGAATTTTTTTACTGCATTCGGTCCACGATACAAGACCGGATATTTCGGCAAGTCAGCAAACATATTATCCGGTAATATATCGGAAACGTGTACAACGAAAAAGCAACTGCTCATTGTCTTGTAGTTTTGGATAACAACACAGTTTTTCGATATTCGTTTGTCTGCACAGTGAAGTAAGCATTCCAAGTCGGCGTAAAATAATAACGGTACCGATTCTTCCCATCCCGTATTTTTGAAGCGCAATATGGACTGGTCCGAATCGACTGGGGGTAGGACAGCTAGCGCTTTCTTAAACTTACCACACATTTTTATATGCTCATCCAGACCCCTTGTCCACTGGAACGGGACGATAGCGTTCGGTCCGTAAACACGCTGAGACAGCGTTTACAATAGATTTAATGATAATGACCGGCACATCGTTGATTGGAGACAAATCTAGAAAAATTTTTATGTAGCAATAATGGCTATTACCACCCTCCATGATGTAAATTACATCGATGTGTTCCGTGTTCGAGCGTGATTTGGTAATACGCAATGGATAAACATTATTTTTATCGTCCAATGCAAACACGTTGATGGACAAAAACAGGTTGTTACGTTCAAACTTATTTATTTGTTTAATTGGAGTAGGAAAATCAATACCGTTGAAATTAATATTTGAATTTTTTTCTAAAACGAGATAACCCGCATTCCACTGATCTTTGTTTTTTTTTTTGGTATTGACACGGCCGACGACGACCCGCCGCAAATGATACAGGAGTCTTCTTCCCGTTGTGAAAGCGACAACGTTGACCAACCGATCCGCACCCGTGCACCATCGCCTACAACGCTGCTAACCTTTTGTTGCCCGAGGATCAGGCCGGACATTGTGTCATCGACGCCAGCGAAAGTTGAAATTTTGTGTAGTCAAATATTGTTGAATATTTAATGTGTTCAATTCATTAATAGTGCAATTTAAAAAATAAGATTATTTTTGTAATAGTATAAACATATTAAATACTTATATAATATAAAAATACATTTTAAATATTTATTTCAAAACTTTTGACAATGTTAGACCCGTTACTTATAATTTAAAAACCAAACGGTAGCAAAATGAGGTCGTGTCTCAGTATGGATGTGGCATAGTTGGGGCGCAACCAATTGGTCGCATCACATCTATACCAAAATAATAGCTGCAAAACAATGTTTTTGAACACTACAATCACTACTCCATAGAAATACCAAAACTGACATGCACACCAAAGTCATAATTTATTAAAGCCTTATTAAACTAATGTGGTCATATGGTATTGAACTATGGAGTGCAGTAAAAAGTCGAACATTAACATAATTCAAGTTCTCCAAACAAAGTGTCTTCGGCGTTTACTTAACGCCCCTCCTTGCATATCAAATGAAACAATCCATAATGATCTCCAACTCTACTATAAAACAAACTTTATCATTAAAAGCAAAATATTCCACAACCAATTCCATAATAAACCAAATCATCTCATTAAAATCCTATAATNAACCAATTCCATAATAAACCAAATCATCTCATTAAAATCCTCTATGTCACCTAAAAAGATCTTAGAGTAGGGATCTACTTTAATTATAAAATTAATTATGTTGTAATAGCTCTTTAACTAACTTAAGTCATTTGGAGTCTCACCATTGTGTCCTCTCCAGTGTTACCTTCTTTCCAAAGTTACTTGTATATAGAGATGTGAGTCGGTATTATACATGTGTATTATACGGTATGATACACGCGTATAAAATTATTTTATACCGGCTGTATCAAAAAAAAAAAAAATGCTTTATCAACATTTATATTCTTTTAGATTTTATTTTAATTGATATACGCAATTGTAATTAATGATATAGATGGATTGCATTATTAGATTTAAATGTATCTATAATCGTGAATATTATTGTAGATTAATAGATATATTTTTAAAACATAATTAGTTGTCAGATTCGTNCACTACCCGAACTTTACGCACATACGCACTTTTTGTACTCGAAAATTTATTTATTTTTTAATTATTCATATAATTGCGGATCGAAGGACCAGAAATGTTGGTGAAGCGGGATTATTAATCGTTAATAAATCGAACGCTCACTTAAATTTATTTTTATGATATTTTTTAATTTGTTTGATTAATGTAATAAATATGAAACTTAACAAACTATAAATATAATTTACAAAATATTTGCTCCGTAATTTTATTTATAATTAACTTAAATGACAATATTTAAATACAA